CCTTACAAACTAAAAAATACCAGTTATTCAGTCCTCCCCTACCCAGGGGTCCTGGAGAAATGCCTGCCAATTGGACCAGTTAGGGAAAGCAAGCAGCAAGTGACAGGCAGGCCAAGGTGTAGAGCCACCTGAGGTGGCTGAGGCCAAACCCGGCCAGGTGTGATGTAGGCCAGGTGGGCTGGCGGAGCTGGGAAGAGCGGGAGCAGTGGAGTCCCAGACGGCAGAACCAGCATCTCCTGGAGGCCGCCATGCACGCATATTCTCCTGCCCCGCCCCGCCCCAGACCTCAGAGCAACCTGGTGGCCGGATTGCCGCCAGCCCTGTGGCCTAGTGCAGCCGCAGGTAGGAGGGGGCGGAGTAGTTGAAGAGCAGGAAGTCCATCCTGTAGAGGTCGAAGAGGCGCCGCTGGTAGAAGGGGCTGATGTCCCGAAAGAGCTGTGCAGCCTGGTCCCGGGATGCAGCCGCCCTGGCCTGGGGCGGCGGCGCGGGGAAGCGCAGGCCGGGCGCGCCCACCAGGCCCAGCACAAAAGCCGCATCCTGGGCCAGCGTCTCGAACTTGCCCACGACGTCGTAGCGCAGGCGGCAGGGGTGGCAGAGCGCGTGGGCGCGCTCCCAGTGCTCGTTGAAGGGCTCCTCGCGGCGCGTGCGCGGGTCCAGCAGGTAGGACAGGAACTCGGCGAAGCGCACGTCGTGGCCGCGGGCCAGCGCGTCGGGGTGTGGACGCGGCCGCAGGCGCCGCACAATGCGCGTGCCGTAGCGCCGCTGGAAGGCCGCGCTGTAGGGCCGCGCGAACTTGTTGCGGTAGGCGGAGGCCAGGCGCTCGAAGGGCTGGCGCACGAAGAGGAAGGCCAGGTAGGCGCGCAGGCGCCGGTTGATCTCGGCAGGGCTGAAGTCGGCCAGCGAGCGCAGGCGGCCTGGCACGTGGGCTTCGTGCGCGGGGATGGCTTGCGGGTCGCCACTGGCGTGGCCGCTCAGTGCAAGCAGCACGCGCTTCCAGTTGGTGCAGGCCACCTTGGGCACGTAGCAGTAGAGCAGGCC